TCCCCCCCCACGGGTTTTAGGTTTAACCCCCCATCGTCTATTTGCGACGAGCTGCACAGCCCGTCATCCGGACGGATGTCCGGGTCCGGATCCAGGTATCCGACTGGCCATTCCCGACATGCACCGCAGAGGCAGAGCATTCTCTCCTACCGTCGTTGAACTGAAAAACCGGGCTACGTTACCCAGAGGGTGTAAGTAGAGAGGGGGGGAAAACCAACATAAAAAACAGCACAAACAAAGAAAAAAATGCAAAGCTTCTAAATATCGCAAACACACAAAATGACATAAACGAATTCGGAGAAACACACACACTTCTGAATGCCGTCCAGAAACCTAGGGGGCTACCAGAGTGGCCCGGGGCCACTTACACGGCCGGGCCAAAAAAAAAAACAAAAAAAAAACATGATATTTCATTTTAAATTTGGTAAAGAAATTCGATATGACCCTGAGGCAAACGTTGTTCAGTTTATTTTCCTCCATAAAATTGTTTTTTTTTCGGATTTTTTTGTTTTTTTTTGTTTTTTTTTGTTTTTGCGAGCACCTTCCCTGGTCCTTGCACGGCCGGGCCGTCCGGGAAACTAGGGTAGCCTAGCCAGAAACCAGAAATCAAATGAACGATAAATGAAAAGCGCGGTAACAAAAGGGTATAAGGCTGAGATCCCACGAGGATCCTAGCACATTGTTTCCCTTCCTTTCCTTTCTTGTGAAGAAGGTAAGTAGTCTCAGCCCCTAACATTATATTCTATCCATCGGATTCTTCAGGGTTCGCACACGCATAAATTGAGAAATGGTCCAAATTTTTTAAATAAAAAAGAAGTGATAGATATACAATATGATAATTATTATTACAACGATAATTATCATACATTTGATATTTATCATACTGTAATATGATCTATGATCTGTTCATCAACGCCATTACATGCATGCTTCAGTCATATGGGCCGAGCATCTATTGTCGTACCGCATTTACGTTTTATCAAGGCGAGAAGAGGCTGATATGGCAAAAGAAAGGTCGGATTCAAGACACTAAGGAGGATCCAAAGGAAGGAGAGGAGACAAGAGGAAAGGGGAGGAGAGGAGAGGAGAAAGGGATGGGGAGGAGGAGGAGGAGGAGAACTAGCAGGAGGAGGAAGAGAACAACAACGGGGGAGTCAAAGAATCGAAAGGCTGGAGAGGAGAGGAGAGGAGAAAGCAGGAAGGGATGGGAGAATCAGCCAGTATGGAATTGGGAGGAGGAGGAGGAGGAGGACAACGTGAAAGAGGGCGAAGAAAGAACGAGACAATGGAAGACAAAGAATGCAAAACAACGGTTTTGCTCTTTTCGGATCTGCAGAAGCAACAGGATCAGATTAACCTTCAAACGGAAAAGAGAAAAAAGAAAAACATCACAATAGCCATGGTGAGGAACGGGAACAGACAGATCAAGCATGAGAGAAACACAGACCCACCGGGAACGGTACACGTCTCTCTTTCCGCTGCACACACACACACTCTCTGTAGGAAGAAATCGAGATCGTGGTCCTTAGATAACGTGTCGGCCGGTTCACGATTGAAAGAACAAAAAAGACACAGACCAGCTCAACAGGCACACGTCTCTTTCCTCTCTCTACAAACACGTGGCTTGCTCCACATACACTACGCAGATATGTTTTGCGAGAAGAGGGATGCAAATCAAACCTACAAGTATCGGGCCGAAAATCACGGTGCGCTCACGCTACCGGTAGGGCTTTTTTTCTGCTAAGCTCGGGACTTGATCGCGGTCACATTCATTCATCCGGTTCTGGCCGTACTTGCCGTCACACACATTTTCGACAGTGCAAGTGTAAGTATGCCCTCTCCAATCTGCAATATCATCGTATCGGGACTTGATCGCGGTCAATATTCATTCATCCGGTTCTGGCCGTACTTGCCGTCACACATTTTCGACGGTGCAAGTGTCAGTATGCCCTCTCCAATCTGCAATATCATCGTATCGGGACTTGATCGCGGTCATATTCATTCATCCGGTTCTGGCCGTAATTGCCGTCACACATTTTCGACGGTGCAAGTGTCAGTATGCCCTCTCAAATCTCCAACATCATCGTAAACAACCCTAATGACCGTAAACCATCGGAAAACGACAAAAAGCAAACGATCAAACGTCGGGCAGGCGGGATCTGCTGAGGGAAACATGTCTCGTTCTTAAATCGTTGAACAAGCAAACAGTGCCTCGCTGCCCCACTCGCCCGAATCTAACAAAAACGGAGTGAATCTTCCCGTAGAAGTTGGACAAATGCACTCATCAATTTTGACACTTGTCGAGTGGTGCAGCGAGGCCAACGGTGACGATGCTGTGATCTTTAACAATTGGTCAGGGTTGTGCTGTCTTTGAAAAACAATCTTTCCGTCAGAAGGAAAAAAAAAAAAAGGAAAGAAAGAGAAAATAAGTCGTCTTGAGATCATTGGAATCGAGCTTTGTAGGCATCATATACACTAGCATATGAGTTGGCCAAGGCTTATGAATTCAACTTTTAGTTTTATATTTATATTTATATTTATATTTATATTTATTTTTATATTTATATTTATATTTATGTTTATTATTTATGATAATATCGGCAACTAATTACTAATGAAACCAACCCAGATCATATGGCTGCTGAATGATATACAGTACTATACACATACAACTGGTAAGATAAACAGGTCAGAAGCTCTCGACTGCAAACAGATGGATGCAATAAGGTTAGGACGGCCTACCGACCTCCTTCGGAAAAAAAAAAAAAAAAAAAGAACTCACGAATACTCACACTTGGGACTTCTTTTTTCGACTGAACTTTGCACGTGATTACGGTTGGATGCACCCAGGTTCGCCCGTCATCGCAGTCAGTCGGAATCAGGAAGGTGCTACCTAGTGTTAGTATAGCATTTTTACTTTTGGAGCGGTCTCCAACGAGCTTTTTGGATTTTATTTTTTTTGTCCTTTTTTTCCTTTAAAAAAGCACACAAGGACAGCTGCGAGTGTACGTACTATTGCGACTCGTACGGAAAGATACAGACGATTTCTTGTGTACCATTGGAATTTTTTCGGACGCACTTAGAAGTCGACAAACTCACATTTTTTTTCCTTTCACATGAATCTAGACATTCCCACACATAGCAATTCTGACAAGTACTCTATTGCGGAATTCACAGTTATGTGAACAACAAGGTCAACTAAGTCAATACATACTTAAATATATATCATCACATGAATATGAGAGCGCAAAAGCGAAAAAAAGAAAAAAAAAAAAGAATGAATTCGTTTTTTTTATATCTTCTTCCTTATAACTCCCCCTGTTCAAAACCTCTTGCGTACAAGGCCGCCCACGTGGATGTAGGTTGAGCGGCGGTATATATATATGCAGCCCCTGCTTTGTTCTCTTCTTCTCCCTCTCTGCCTACGGTTTACCGGGCTGCTCCGTCGGACGATATGTAAACATATGGATACATATATACAGCCTCCTGATGAGTCGCTGACACTCCGATGAAACAGTCTGTCACAGCGCCTCGTTTGTTGCCCTCTCTCCCTCTCTGCCTACGGTTCACCGGGCTCTCTCTCTCTCTATCTCTCTCTCTTATATATCGTCACAGAGTTAGTGTATACATCGTCACAAACAGAACTGCCCGGTAAACCGTAGGCAGAGAGAGAGAAGAGGACAACAAACGAGGGGCTGTGACAAGGCAGAGAGGGATAAGAGGACAAGAAACAAGGGGCTGAGACAAACTGTTTCGTCGGAGTTTCACCGACTATATACAGGTATTTATTTAGTAGGTAGATTTAGGGCGCACTCACACTAGCTGTATCTTAAATGTATTTGACCGCTTTTACGGCCCAGCCTGGGTGCATCTGACCTGAACTACGGCCACGGAGAAGTTCAAAAAGTCCTAGTGCGAGTATGCCCTTATTCAGCTACGACCAGCAGATGGTGCCACAGCCATATATTTTCAATCGTCCTGTTACGAACGGTAATCGCTACTGGGTGCAAGCCATCCCATCCCAGAGAGTACATCGGGATCTCCTCTATATATCGGGAGTCTGTAGGAGCAAAGCGCATTATCGAATCGGGAATTCGATCGACGTACCTGACCACAGGCACGGGCAGATTCAGCCCAAAAAGAGCTGGGCGTGAGCGTGAGTACGGCCTACGAGCTGTTTAGAGCGCCGATTGCTTTCAAGACCGTTAACTAATCACAACCTTATACTTTATACTATTATTATTACTATTATTTTATTTATTACTATATTACAATTCTAGTTCATATCTATTATTCTTATTATCTATTATATTGCTATATTTATATGTATTGTCACATGAATACATATATTATCTATTATATTGCTACATTTATATGTATTGTCACACGAAGATATATTGTCACAAGAATATCAGAGCGCAAATGCGAAAGAAAAAAAGAAAGAAAAACAAAAAAAAAATGAATTCAGTTTCTTATCTTCTTCCTTATAACTCCCCCTGTTCAGAACCACTTGCGTACAAGGCCGCCCACGTGGATGTAGGTTGAGCGGCGGCTGCCCCCATATTTATATCGATAATCTATATTGATAATTTATAGTCTTTATTACATATGTATATAACGATATATATATTATCACACATTGCATATTTATTCATAGAGAATTATTTTTTTTATTATTTTATTATAATTACTACTCTTATACTATTATATTATAATTAATATATAATAAGAATAATTTCATAGAGAATTATTTTTTATACTATTTCATTATAATTACTACTCTTATACTATTACATTATAATTAACATATAATAAGGACAATCAATACATTAATATAAAGAGTTCTCTTTTTCTCTTCACAAAAATTTTGGACCTTCACTCTCAGTGGAGACGGAGCGAAAAAATAAGCCCCCGTGAATATCATCTTCGTTGGCGCCATCTCACGAACTCATTTATCGACCTTGAGGACAAACTCTTTTCTTAAACCACCAGTACTTGCCCCAGCTATCGGCCGCGGAAAAAAGTAGAGTAGAAACGTTTCTAGTTGGATGAATTTGGGCGCTCCTGTAGTGGCCCGTACGTTTCCTAAAATTGCGTAGCGTTAACGCTACGCGACTTTAGGAAGTACTGGTGGTTCAAGGGGCCAAATGCCAAAATCGTTCGACGCCCAAAGAGAAAATTTTTGGCGCGACAAATGACGAAGTTGTTCAGCGCGCCAAATGAAGATAATTCTCGGGGCGCGCCAAATGACAGAACTATTTGGCGCCAAGAATGACACTCGGTTGGCCGGCCAAAATCACGAAAATGCCTGGCGCCAAACTTCAGCCTTGTTTGGCGCCAAATCGCCATGTGAAGAAAACGAAGAAGAAATACAAAAAGGTGAAACGTGCACGAAAACCCCATATATACCGCTGAAGCAGACGACAACGCAATGACAAGGACAATCCTCCTCCATTCCTTAGCTACTCCCAACTTCCCACCATTTCCCCCACTTCCCACCGTTTCCCGCCGTCTCCCGCCGTTTCCCACCGTTTCTCGCCGTCCCCCACCGTTTCCCACCGATTCTCTCTCACACACAGACCTACTCCCTTTCCCGTCGCCCCCCACCGTTTCTCACCGATTCTCGCTCTGGCTCTCTCACGCAGAGACTTCCTCCCTTTCCCGCCGTTTTCCTCCCTTTCCCGCCGTTTTCCGTCCTTTCCCGCCGTTTTCCGTCCTTTCCCGCCGTTTTCCGTCCTTTCCCGCCGTTTTCCGCCGTCTCCCAAGTTTCCCACCGTTTCCAACTGCTTCCCGCCGCTTTTCTTTGTCTGGCTCTGTCACGCATAGATCGGATCAGTACTTCCACAGCCTCGGATGCCTCCAGGACACGGATTTGACGAAGAAGAAAAAGGAGGAGGAGGAGGAGGAGGAGGGGGAGGAGGAGGAGGAGGAGGAGAAGAAGAAAGGACAAGCACCCGGACGGAGGGGCAAGACGAGGAGGAGGTGAGCGTAAGGAAAGAGGACGAATAAGAGTAACACGAAGAAGACGCTGTGCAGTTTGCCAAACAACGATTACGTCTTGAAGTGCACGACCGGGCCAGCTAGGTCGAAGGACGGGCGGAGAGGGCGGGAAGAAGGAGGGTAGGAGGAGGAGGAGGAGGAGGAGGAGGAGGAGAGTAGCAATGTGACAACGAGCAGGAGGAGGAGGACGACGAAAAGTAAGAGCGGGGAGGAGGAAGAGTAGTATCACCACAGAGGAGGCGGAAGGAGATGAAGAGTAGGAGCAGGAAGGAGAAGGAGGAGCAGGGCGTAGGAGGACGAGGAGAAGGAGCTGCTCAGCTCACCTACGTTGAAGGCCACGTTGCGTGGCGACGCCTGCGAAGGCAAGGCCGGCCTTGAGCTGTGGTCAAGATGTCAAGGGTCCTTCCCAGCGTGCCGCGCTGGTCCTGAGAAAGCAGCTGATCCTGTTTGACACCCCTCCGCTGATGACACTCGGCAAAAAACTACAGTCCTAAGAATGCAGCCCACCGCCCTCCGCCCCGCCGGTCCTCCGTTCTCAGGTCGGGAGTCGTCTTCCGGCTGAAGAGGGTTTCCGTGTCCGTTGCGCGCGAACTTCCCTTTTTTCTCTGCTTTCCTGTTTCGGGCGCCGTCGATGGCAGCACAGCAAAGTTGCAAACCTTAGTTCCCAAGGGCCCTAAGGCCCTCGTTCCACACCACTTGTGTTCAAGAGCGAAGCGAAAAATCATCCTTCCATCGCCCCCTTAGAGCGACCAGCTTTGTTTTCACTTTTTTGCGTCCCAAGGGTGCGCCCTTGAAACTCAAGGGCGACACAGCCCAAAAAAAATCGCCCTTGAATTCAAGTCGCCTCCCGGAGGTACCTTGAGTTCAAATGCCAGTGGATACCGCCAGCACTCCGAGTGGGGCCTTTTTTCCCTTCTCTTTTTTTCCAGCAGGAGATCCTGGTCCAGGATTGGTCAAGCCGTGGAGTTCTGTTTCAAGTGCAGCTTGTTCAAGGGTTTCCTCAAGTGTACATGGAACCATAAATTGAGTAAGTGTAAATTAATCACAATTTCTCATTTATTGAGTAAGTGTAAATTAATCACAATTATACCTTTCTCGGCCTTTTGGCTAAGATCAAGTCTAGTATCTGTTCTGATCAGTTTAATATCTGATCCGTGGTCCATCGGGCCATATTAAAAAATAAATAAAAATAAATAAATTAATCACAATTTCTCATTTAGTGAGCACTTGAAACTCAAGTATTTTCAAGTGGTGTGGAAGGAGGCTCTAAGTGCAGAACTAACCATAGGCCAGCATTTTGAATGCATCTGAACACGTTTCTTGCCCCTATTCATCCGAAATCTTGGCCGATAGCCAGTGGAGCAACTACTGGTAGGCCCCAAATCTCGCCTAGAGGCATGGGGCCTTGTTCCACACCACTTCACTTCAAACTCGAGTGCGCACTCGAGTTCCAATCGTGATGAAAAAGTACTTGAGGCCTGGACCCCACAGGAATGCAGA